AAACTGCACAAGTCAATCAATATAAGGATGAATATTAGAAAGAAGTTTGGTGTTATGATCATTTAGCAAAATAACAGTAGTAAGTTCTCCCCCAGAACATATAACCTCCTTAGCCATGGGGTTTTGGCCAGGCTTGTAGTGCCAGGTATGAGTCCTCTGCTGTGGAACAGGCCTTAAATCCAATCAGAAAGCTGTTGATTACTCCATAACATTCATGGCTACTACTGCATGAATGGGTGTATCTTGCCAGGTTAATTGTTACTGTAGTCTCCGGGTTCACATCTAGTTAAGGCTATTGATGGCTTTTCTCCCACAGAAGTTTATACAGCACTGTCTATTTCTGTGAAGGCTAGCACATAGGGAAGAGGCTCCTAGGTTAGTTTGTGTGGAAAAAGTCACAGAAAAGACTGTTTTATCTTTTTAAAATTTAAACTTAGATTTAAAACGAAGCTCTTCACCACATGACATTTCAATTTCTTCTAATTTCCATAACAACAACAAAATATGCTATGGTCCAAGAGGTTCCAGGGGTCTGTGTTCAAACAGAATGTTGTAAATATGTAGGCCTGCAGAAGACATTAGATTTGCTTACCCATTGCCCATTAGCTAAGTCTTTAAGGTTCCTTTAAGTGTAGAATGGTTTAAATGCCCATGCTTTGGCATACAGTCTATCTCATTTTTTTAGGTATATTTAATGTATAGGTATGCACCCACACTTATGCTGCTTATACTCATCAGTCTACTAATGTTGAGGATTCTCATTCAGTCAGCAGCATGGCCTTCACTGCAGGTGACATTAGAACTCATTTTGAGTATATGAGTTGTTGGTACCCCTTGTCCACTGCAAACAGTAGACAGGGACCAAATGACTCAAGACATATTGTCATTCAAGAGGAAAAGCGTCATTACTTACTATATTTTAAACATCCACCAAGTGGGAAGAGAACAAAGACTAGACATATAAACAGAAGTTACACATCAGAATCCTTTCTTTGCAAAGGGCAGAGCTGCTGTTCTTTTTTCCCTCCTACTATCAATGGTAGCAATCCTCCAAAGGTCAGTGAATGGCCTGAAGCATTGATGGAGCACATAGGACTGGCCAGAGCCTCTTCTTTCCTCTCACTTGGGTTTATTTCAAGTCCTGGGCCAAAAGCACATGGCCCGCAGGCAGTCTCCTCCCTCCACTCTTGACAGAGTTCCTCCAGATATTGCATTATTTTTAAGCTGATAGATTTTATAGACAAATGTACCATAGATCCTTTAGAGGAAATGCATTAGTTCTATTTATAAAAACTCTAAATGGGTCAGGAGAGATGGCTCAGCAGTTAAGAGAACTGGTTACTCTTCCAGAGAACCTGAGTTCAATTCCCAGAACCCACATTGTGACTTACAACCATTTGTAACTCCAGTTCCAGGGGATCCAACCCTCTCTTTTGACCTCTGTGGACACTGCAAGCATGTGGTACACAGGCATACATGCTGACAAAAACATCCACACACATAAAAATAAGAGGGATTGTAAATAATTTACAAGTGCTAAGATAGACAGCAGGTAACCCATATAAAATGACAGGAAGTTAAGGTAGACTTGTCGTAAGGATTTTAAAGTCACTTTGCAGCTAGCAAAACATTTTTATAACTTTAAATACAGAACACATCATGAGTAGAATTTGGAACAATTATTAGAATAAGAATGCAAAGAATGCACTGTCAGCCTATTCTATTATTATCATTTCTACAGAGAATATAATTATCCAGTATGTCCTACTGGAAACACATCCCACCCCTTTGCTCAGTTCTCTGTGAAGCCTCAGTGCCCCTGACAACCTGGTTGACATCAAGAACTCTGAAAAGTCAAGAAGTGCTGTAACAGTCCAGTTTCAGTTTCTAATAGGCATGCATTTTCCATCACATGATGCAATCAGAGCTGGAAGCTATGATGTCTGAAGGAACGGAGGTCTGAGTGGGAAAACCTTGAGAACCAGATCCATTCATGGTTGTGACTGAAAAGCTGGGTCATCTGGTGTATTCACTTCTATGTGAATGCGTTCTCTTATAAAGCTATATACATTATTGTTTCCTTTATTTCCTCATAAAATTCTTGTAAGAATAAATGCACAAAAGAAAGTCAAGACAAATATAAAGTCAGACTTTGACTTAACTCACTGCATCCATCTACTTTATGTTTTCATTGCAAACTGCCCCCCTGTTCTTTTTTAAAAAACTCACAGTCTTTTAAAAAGTATCTCCACTGCAAATGTACCATCCCAGGAATGGGGAGTAACCAATGGGAGAGTTAAGGAAATGTCAAGACAGAAGAATCTCCTGGTAAACAACCGGCTAGATGGAAAAGGTCAGTGGATATCTTTTATTTTTTTTAAAAGTAGTTTTTCTCCACATCTTATGTCTGAAGTGAAAAGTGCATAAATCTCTAGAATAATGACAGGACCTTAGGTATTACAAATAATTTACTTATTTATAATGCAGGTGTCATCTCATTATATAATGTTTCTAGAATTCCAACTGTAGGTAGAGTTTTCCCATCCTGACTGCCTGCTCCCTGTCCTGGCAGCTGCTTCCAAATTGTCACATAGAGACTTAATATTATTTATAAATGCTTGGCCAATAGTTCAGGTTTGTTACTAGCTAACTCTTACATTTAAATTAACCTATATTTTTATTTATGATTTGCCACATGGCTAATGGCTTGTTACCACATTTTCTACACATCCTCATTGTTGGGCAGCTGGCTCGTGTCTCCCTTGACTCTACCCTCCTTCTTCCTATCATTCTTGATTTAGCTTTTCCCGTCTAACTTCTTGCCCAGTCACCAGTCTTTCAGCTTTTTATTAGCCAATGAAAATAATACATATTCACAGTGTACAGAAGATTATTCCACAACATTTCCCCCTTTTGTCTAATTAGAAAGCAAGGTTTTAACTTTATCTTAGTAAGATTTTATACAACAAAAATAGTTATTAATAATTACAGTTACAATATTCAGTCCATTTGACAAAATTAGAGAAAATACTCTATCCTATCTTGGTGAGTCTAAAGTTTTACATCTATGTTATCTTTTATAAGAATTATTCCACATCACCCAACACAAACTCAAAAGTTATTATTAAAGGGAAGAGAACAAAATGACTATTCCACTTGGATTTTTTTTTACTGGCATTTGGATTTTTTTAACTGGCATGTATACTTGATTTACTAATGGCTTAAATTTGGTCAGAAGCCAAGGATACAACTATATTCTTACTATTAATATTTTATTACTTATTAATGGCTTTTTGCATAGGAGTAGGAATTTCTAAGGTTTTAAGGGAGGGCTGTTATATAGTTATAAAGAATGGGATACTGTTCTTATAAATAACTTGTTGACTTAAATTCTACCTATAACTCTGATCTAAAGAATCTCAGCATAGTTACTGAAATTCTCTATGATTTGCATATTAGTTTTTAGAAGTTACTATGCTAATTTATGGGCCTGTGGAATTTTCCTAAATGCTGACGTTTACCCTTGTTATTTCATTTACTAAGACCTTTCTCCAAATAACTCCTTCCTTTTCCTGGCAAGGGAGCTGCAGAGACAGAAGTAATAACCACTCCACTACAAACCTCAATTTTCCTCTAGAACTTTACAGAGCAATGTTATTGTTTTGTTTATGGCTTACAGTAATTTAGTACCTTGGCTTGTATCATGCTACTTTCTCCAAGACTAAGCCTTGGCATTGTAAATTCCTAGCAAGATGTGGTAGGAGTTACTTTGTTATGCCAAACATCTTTTTTAATGGGTTTTAAAACTTTATTGTTCCAAATACAGCTAAATGGTTCCATCCTTGATCAACTGTGGCCATAGGGAACTTAAGAAACACGCCATGGTCCTGTTCCATCCCTGATACAAGGAGATCTAATAATTAACAGTGATGTCTATGAACCACAATAATGACCAGCATGGCAAAACAGCCCTAAAGGTATAATAGTGGCATTCAGATCTGGGTAGTAACCAACAGTTATCAAACTGGATTTAAGGCCTGCTCAACAGAAGATAAATCATGCTTAGTACTAGAAACCTGGCTAATTGCCCAGGGCTAGTGAGGTCATCCATCTTAGAGAACCTACTGTTGCCACTTTACTAGACCGACATAATTCCTAATTGCATTCTAAAACTTACCCTTTTACTGATAGATAAATGTAGCTCTCACCCCATGCCACAGAAGCTTCTCTTTGCAGTAAACAGAGACCATCACAGAAAACCAACTGGTCATAATGCAAAGATCAACTGATCATGGAGAGCCTGTCCCCAACAGGCACATCTATCTCCAAAGCAATTCCTACACCTAAGACTCACGGGACATCATGGAAGATGGGGTGGTAAAGGTATAAGAGCCAGAGGACCCGGAAGTCTGCTATGAGATTGTGTCTCCTAGAAGTGACAGGGAGCTGTACCCGTGATACTGCAACAGTATGGCCGCCTAAATATGCCTTGAACAATGCCAATGCCAATAGACATGCTGACTCAGAAGGGGAAAATCTCATAGGCTCCCACCCCTAGACAAAGAACTATGGGCAACTAATAACTACCAACATGGGGAGGAATAATCTCCTCCAAAGATGAGCTGCTAATTGATTATCCTATACCAAGTGGTCAGCCCTGAGGTCATATGCATACAAACAATACTAAATGTACTCAGTAAGCTATATTTATGAGTTTATATTTGTAAAAATAATAGAGAAAAAGAGGCCATGAATTTGAGAGAGAATGAGGGAGGAACCCAGGAGGGGTTGTACATAGAAGGGGTTAGAGGGAAGAAAGGGAGGGAGAAATGAAGTAATTAGATTTTAATTAAAATTAAAAATTGGGTGAAAGAGCTATGTGAAATACTGAAAAAAAGCTAACGAGTATTTTTAAAACTTACAAAAAATGAATCCTCATATTTAGTTTATTAACCATCAAGAAATAATACACAAGAAAAAGACAAACCAATATCTCACTTGAAGTTTTACATTATCTAATTTTAAATAATACTTAGAATTCATAGATTCATAGAATTAGGACCAAAAAGAATATGTAAAAATTAAACGCTGTGAACGATACCCAAGAATCATTTATCTGTGCTTCCTTTAGTGTGATTCTGCTCGCTGCTTGGAATGGTCTTTTGGTTGTCCCTCTGTCCTCTTCCCCTGATAACAGAATTCTAGTTCTATTCTGGTATCCACCTCTTCCACAGTGCCTTTGGTTGGTGAGACTCTGATAGATTTTACATAATTTACTGCACTCTCCTGTTTCCCTTTCCTGTAATTGGTTTAGGCAAAGGCATGTTATATAAGTGTAACTAATGAGACATGAGAGAGAGTCTGCCTTAAGACTGCAGAGAATCATTTGCTCAACAATGGAAAAGGCCTTCCTTCATGCTCGTGGACACCATCACAAGGGTAAGATGTGTGTAATCTGTTGGCAGACATCTTGTGATTGTTGTGGTAATTGTCAAGCCAAAACTGATCCATGAAGGTAGGTAGGGAAGCAATAAAAGGAACCAACACTGAAGATGAGCCATGGTGCTAGGTTAACCAACGTTAGGTTGCCAACCTCTTGGATTCTTTTGAAGACAATATATTTATTTGTATAATTCAGTACAAATTCAGAAATTTGTATAATTTTCCTTTATTAGCATAAATTTATTGCACAAAATAAAGGATTTCATTGTGGCACCTTCATGCATGCATGCAATATATTTTATACACCGAAAGCATTCTCAATGGTAATATTTAGTATATTTTTTTGTGGTTTTATATATTATATTGACGATCATGCAAATGGAAAAGTTGGTAATTTTCAAGTGTGCAGGGGTTTGTTAGGCACAAATTTTTATATGCAGTACTTTCTGGAGATAGGTAGCATTTGATGAGCCTTCCAAATAGAAATAGAAGTATTTCTTCTAGTCCTTACCAACATTTTGGTATTTAAAATTTAAGAGTCGCATATATTGAGTAAACTCATCTATATTAACATGAATCTTACGTGGCATTTGTTGAGCTTTACAATGAACACATCTAGGCCCCACCACTCACACTAGGTGTAGATCGCCATTTCCCATAGTTCTTGCAGGTAATGCCGTCCCCTTCGGGGTCACTGCTTTTCTTACGGTAAATACATGTTCCTGGTGTTGAATATTACATTCTTGCATTTTATAGCATGCACCCTTCACACTTAGCTTCTCTTGTTTAATGATATATAATGTGAGATTCATTCATGGTATGCCCAAGAAGAACAATCCATTTTCATTCTCATATAGAATTCTATTCGGAGAATATGTCAGAATGTATCCAGTCTGTTACAAAGGACATTTGGATTGTTTATGTCCATGAGTAGTGCAGCCAGGAAAATGTTCATACGTGTCTTCTAATGAATATGCATATGTATTTCTGTCTGGTAGACACTTAAATGTGGGACTGCTGACTCACGGAGCAGGAAAACAACCTCTTAGTGATATTTTAAAGGAGCTTTGCTAAGTGGTTGTGTGTGTGGACGAGCACTTCTACCCATCACATACAATTGACACTTGCTTCATGGGATTGACACTACGTGATGTTGTTCGTTGTAATTATAACTTATGGGATGTGTAGTGATATCATTTTAGCTTCAGTTTCCATTTCCTTGATTCCTAATGAAGTTGACATATTTTGGGCATCTTTATTTTTGAAGTTCATTCTTGAGTCTCTTTATTTATTTTTCAAAATATATTTTCTTGTTGTTACTGATTTATAGGATATATTCTGCACATATGTCCCTTGTCAAAGGTAAATATTGAAATGTATTCTCATTCTGGTAGCTTTATCTTGTTCATAAATGTATGTGTGTTGTGACTGAGATAGACTTTTCTGTTACTGTTTGACCCACATGCAGTTGATTTTTGTGCAGATAAGAAACACGGTAAATTATGTTTATTTCTCCACACGTTCAGCTGATTACACTCTTATCTCATATAGCTTTGGGATCAATCTAATTTTTCTCTCAATCTCTGTTCAATATTATCCATTTGCTTACTTTCTATCTTTGTGCCAATACATCAGAGCTTCAATAATGTTTTGTATTGACACTCCAACTTTCTTTCAATTGTTTTAATTATTCCTCACATTTCCATAAATTATAAAATGAGATTTAAAGTTGACCAAGTTAAAATAAAAGAACCCTGCAAGGTTATTTTTTCCGCATTTACTTTGATGTTCTTTACTTTCTATCAGTGACATGCTTTGATTTTCTGTTAGGGTCCCGCACCGACTTTGTTACATTCATTTCCAGTTCTTAAGTGTTTGGTGCTATTAGAACACTGTCCAGTTTTTTTTATTGTTATCCTCCTATTTGTTGGTATAGTACAGTGAACTTGAGTTTTTTTTTTGTTTTTTTGTTTTTTTGTGTGTTTTTTTTGTTACAAAAGAAAACATTTATTTGAGACTTGCTTACAGTTTCAGAGGTTTAGTTCATTATCAGCAGAGTGGGAAGCATGGCAACATGCAGGCAGACATGGTACTGGAGAAGGAGCTTGAGGGTTCTATATCTGGATCCACAGACCACAGGAAGCAAAAGCCACTGGGCCTGGCTTAGGTTTTTGAAACCTCAAAGCCCACCATCAGTGACACACTTCCTCCAACAAGGCCACACCTCTTAATAATGCCACTCCCTGGTGACCAAGCGTTCAAATCTATGAGCCTGTGGGGGCCATTCCTATTCAAGTCACCATAAAAGTGTTCTTTTATTGTAGATTTGATTGTATTTACTTAATAGCTAATGATGTTGATCATCTTTTCAAATGCTTATAAGCACATGATTATTTCTCTTCCTCTTCCTCCTTTATTCTAAGAATAAAATCCAAGGTCTTAAAGATGCAGATAAGTACTCTACCACTAAGCCCTATTCTCAGTCATAAATATATATGAATATATATATATACATATATATATTCATGTGTGTGTGTGTTTGTGTGTATTCTTTGTGACAATATTAGTAAAGATCCTTTGCCCTCATTTTGCTAATTTTTCTTTCTTATTGTTGAATTACAAAGTTCTTTAAAATCCAGGTAAAAGTCACTTATCAGATATCTAATTAAAAAGAAAGCCCAAAGCTTTTTTTTTGGAGGGGAGGCGTTGAGACACAGTTTCTCTGTGTAGCTTTGGAGCATTTCCTGGAACTTACTCTGAAGCCCAGGCTGGCCTCAAACTCACAAAGAACCGCCTGCCTCTGCCTCCCAAGTGCTGGGATTAAAGGCATGCACCACTGACCAGCAGCACAAAGCTTTTAATCATGACATGGTTCAGTTGTCATTTTTTTCTACTACTTGGGCTTTTAGTCTCCCTATCTCCTTCTCTCTCTGTCTCTCTGTCTGTCATTCTGTTTCTGTTTCTCTCTTTTTATCCACATTTCTCCCTTCCCTTTTGTTCATCACTTGTTTATCCTTCAGGAAGCAGTTAAAAATACCCCATCCTGTATCCTTACTGGGACCCCCGTGCCTGCACTGACACCTGTGGACTTTACCTAGACCATCTCTTCCGGCATTGTAGGTGAACTTGAGTTTTAATTCTAATAGTTTGTGATTTTTTTTTTCAGAATGTCCAAGAACACAATTTTGTCACCTTGGATAATAACACATTTATGTCTTCTTTCCACTTCTCACACATCTAATTTAATTTTCTTCCTGAAAATGCTGGCTAGAAATTCCAGGCAATGTTAAGTGGATTTGTTGCAGATGCTGTGTTCTGCTTCGGTGGGGACACCTTGGTATTTCCTTGCTAGCCATGATGCTTGCTGAAGCATAGTTTTTGTAGATAATTTTTGTCATATTAAGAGAGTTTCTTGGCCCACCCGCTGCCACCTAGTGGTGCAGGCAGCTGGAAGGTGGCCAGAGGCCCACTCTATGCATCAAGGGCAGGCAGGGCCACTAAGATGAGCAACCATGTGGTAGAGAGAGGGGAGAGAAAGAGAAGCGGAGCCATTTGCATGCTGTAAAGAGAGGCAGAGCTGGAGATGCAAGGACAGTGACAGACAGCCTGAGGTGAGAGGCCTGTGCTACCACCTGAGGCCATGGAGATGTCTGGACCCATGGCCCTTCCTCAGTGTTGATGTCTGTGGTCCATGTTATCACCAAAAGCCATGCTCATGGTGGTGGTCTGGGCTGCCCCCTGAAGCCTTATTGATGCCTGAAGGCCAGGCTGAGCTGGTCCCACCCCTCACTTGGGCAACACAGGAGAGCTGGCACTGGTGGTGTGGGTGAAGAAGAGCTGATGCACTGACCAACTCAGCTACCACCCAGGCCCAGACCCAGGGCTTTGAGTGAGCCCACCACAACATCTACCTCATCTATGAGCTACCAGAGTGCATGAAGGGACCAGTCATGCAGAACTATAGCTGAAGGATTTCCATGTCTCAGGACAACAGCAGGATATCTGAGAAGAGTTTTGGTGAGGGTCCATTATTGGTGTACCAGAAGCCAGAGACCTTGGACCAGACCAACCAACAACTCATTACAATGAACATTTGCAAGTTAAGCTGTTGGGACAAAAGGGTATGCTGCGTGACACATCACAGCTCGCAGTGTCACTATGACCAACGAGTACGTGATGGAGAGGCAGGAAAGATGGACGAGCAGAGTGATACATGCACGACGGATCTGGACACTCAACAGCTGTGATGGGAGTAAGAGAAGGCAGAGGTTGAAAGAGGAGCAGGTCGTGCCCAGAGGGGTTGGCAAGATGTCTTATTTATGTATTTTTTAATTTTTATTTTCTTTTAGGTGGGAAGTTATGAGAGTGGATGGCAGATATAGAAGAACTGGAAAATGAAATGCTGATTCTGAATTTGGTGCACTGCCTCTGTGATTGTACACCTTTTCTATTGTGTTCTGCCAATGTGGAGAGCTACATTGAACAGTTAATATAAAAATGTAACCTCGTGCTTTTGGAATAAACCCAACCTTATCATAAAGGATTATCATTTTATACATAGCTGACTTCACCTTGCTTCACACGTGCAGTTCAGAAATCAGAATTGCCTTTGGGAGAAGTCGTATTTAGATTCCAGTCTCTGACATGGTGCTGGCCTCAGTAGTGCCTCCAGCCTTCTCCTCTGCTGCTAGTGAGACCGATATCCACATTAGGGCACCCATCCTACGTGGACACTGTGATTGTGAAAAAGCCTTGGAGGGCAACCTGCACCGACAGAGTGCTCTCCTCCAGATTTTCTCTCAGAATCAGCTGGTCAGACCCTGGTTGTTTAGATCGGTCTCCAAAGCTTTCCAAAGATTAAGACTTCCTGTTTGTTTTGATTTGTTTGATAGGGATATTAGAACTGAACACACGAGAGTGTGGATTTAAAACATATCATTTGATGGTCAGAAGTAAGAGTTCCCCATAATATGAAAAGCTCATAAGCAGGGTTCATCCATCTCAAGAGGACACCAGGAGACAAGCATTCATGTACATGTTAAAGAAAGGCATTGCAGTAATAACAGTCCTTTATGTGACTTTGTCTAGAATATCCAAGGAATTAAATATGATTTAAATTTTTTTTAGAGAACAAGGAGCTAGTGTGTAATCCCATAGAAAAGCACATCAACTCTATTGCCTGTTCAGAACACACATACAACTCATCTTTTCTGTTTAGTTTTAAGTGCTTTGAATAAAATTAAACAAGCCAGAAACCTTACCGGGGTTCAGCAACCTGTTTATTCTTCAGCCTTCAGTTCAGTCCAAAATTAGAAGCAAGAGAGTCACGGTTTCTTTTACCTCTGAAAATTCCTGAACACCAATGCTATGTTCATCGACATGGTAAACTACACTAAATAGTCAATCAGTGTCCAGTGAACTTATCCCACTCCCCTCCCCCCGCGCGCCCCCCACCTAAGGCTCATGTTTGGACACTTGTTTCCAACTGATGGTACTATTTTGGGAGGCTGTGGGGCCCTTTGAATGTGGGGTGTGCCTTGGAAGGTGATAGCTGAGTCCCTATTCCCAGCTCTGCTCTCCCTCTCTGCTCCCTGGTCCACCACTGTGTGATGCCTCTTCCTCATAGAACTGAGCTGGTCAACCATGTCTCCATCACGATGTCCGGGGACCCTCGGCAATCATGACCAGAGTAACATTTTCCTCCCCAATGTTATCTCTGTCTGCACTCTGTTGGTGATGTAAAGCCATTCAATTCCATTTGGAAATGTTCAGTATTAGGTGGTGGCTCAAAGAAATAATAATATTCTCTCTCTCTCTCTCTCTCTCTCTCTCTCTCTCTCTCTCTCTGTATGTGTGTGCGTGTGTGTGTGTGTGTGTGTGTGTGTGTGTGTGTGTGTGTGTGTGCGTGTGTGTGTGGTTTGTGCTCTAGGATATAGCCCGTGCCCCCCACAGGCCTTTTTTTTTTTTGAGTTTTGAGGCAGAGTCTCACTAAATTGTCCAAGCTGGCCTTGAACTCTCTCTAGAGCATAGGCAGGGCTTAAACTCATGATCCTCCTGCCTCAGCTCCCAAGTAGCAGGAATTACCAGCCTATGTCTGACCCAGTTTGTAATATTCATTTCTAATACCTAAGTATGTTAAAGGGAGATACAGAGATGTTTTACATTCATGTCATTATGACAAAAATCTAAAGTTTGTTTTCTTAGACTAGGATAGAGGCTTGCAAGTCATTTGATGGAAAACTCACTTTGCTTAGATCACAGACTTTATGTAATGCTTCATTTGACTTGATGCTTTGTTTAGCAGAAAGCTGGGCACACCCTTATGCTCAGCACTCTTGCTATTTGTCTGACACCGGCAATAAGAACATCACATAGCCAGAGGCCTGAGCTTCTGTGAAGCTATTAGAACAAGTGCATGCAAAATCATGAGTTATGTGGAGTAATAAGAGAATCTTGCTTTTCCTTCTGTGATTCTGTGTGTGCCCATGGAGATCAGAGGTCAACATCTGTGTCTTCCTTAGTTTTTCTCCATCATAATTTTTTTAAGGCAGGGTTGCTCACTGAATTTGAAGCATACAGATTTAGTTAGGCAGGCCGGTCAGTGAGCTCCAGGCATCTGCCTCTCTCTGTCTTCCCAGTGCTGGGATGACAGATGCAGACTGCTGTGCCTTGCCTTTGTATGAGTGCTGGGGATATGAACTCGGGTCCTCATGCTTGGGTGGCAAGCACTTTACAGACTGAGCCATCTCCCCATCCCATATCTGTACATTACAGTTTACGTCCAACACAGCCCGGAAAGAGAAGGGTACCGACTGATACTCCTATATACCCATAGTAATGAGGAAAGCACGTGCTTTCAGAGAGTGAGAATAAATGTCTGAAAGCCAGAAAGAGTTAAGACTCCACTTGCCCCACAGCGAACACCCTGAATTATGTGTTTCTCTCAGGAAAGTAAGACGAAGGTGCAGTTTCTGTGTAGTGATTTTCTGTGTCTTTCAAACGTTTTACAACAAAGATAAATTACTTTCTCTCTAAAATAACAGCATAGTTCTTCTGGTAAGAGTTGCAATGATGGTTAGAAAAACTCATATATGGATTAGTATGGAAAAAGCACCAGAAAAGAGCTTCCAAAGCAAGAGACTACAGAGCTGAATAAGCCAGAGCCAGAAACCAGTTGGACAGCAAATATGGGTGTCATGGCTAGCTAACATCTAGGCTTCCAAGGGAAGCATTCTTCAGGATTTAAATGACCAGAAACAGCATATGTATTTCAGGGTTTATGACAGAAGCAAAAGGGAAAACATCAGAATTTTGAAAGTAATTTTACGTGCTCTCTTAAAGGGTTATTAACCAAGGAATACAATCAATTTCCGTGAGACAGATGTGTGTACTGGGGGTTACAAACAAATAGAGGCGTGATGCATTTTTATCTCCCAAGAAGAGAGAAGGGAAAAATAACCCAAGAACAGTAATTACCAAGAGCTTTCAATTAACTCAGAGCTGGTTGTGAGGAAAAACAGAGCAGGGTGAATAGGTGGGCCATGAGAAAAAAACCTTTCATAGTCTTACGTTGTTATCTGCTACTTTTTTTTTTTTAAATACTTGTTAAGTGTAGACAAAAGACTAGCATAGGCGTTTAAGGTAGAGTTGAGCGAAAATCCAAAGTAAAGGTTGTTATTGTTAGTGTTATGAGAAATTGAAATGTTCTGGTTAGTGCTGGCCTGCGTGTCAGTGAAAGAATCCACCTTAATGAGCTTTCCTCGACTTCCAGCTGGGAAACTAATACAAAGCCACAGGTGACACAAGAGGTCCTATTGAGGAAGTGAGCCGTGGACATCATCCATTTGGCTCAAGAGTTCGTCAGGCATCGTGGTATTTGTGTGGGTGTGGCTGGTGGTGGCATGTGTAGATGAGCGGGATTGTAACCCTCACAGGAGTGTATGGTGTCCATAGCGTGCACTGAGCATAAGGCTCCAAAGAAAATGAGGAAACTCACTGAATGTGGCTGAACTTGAGGCCTGGCTCTGGGCTACCCCTCTGAGCCATTCCCAAGTGCACTTATTGAAACCGTCATGCACATCCATTACAACAAGAGTTCTGTCTCCACTGAGGTGCCCTAAGAAACAGCAATCTGTGAGGCCCTCTCGAGCTCTGTACCTGTGGATGCTCTCAGGACGATTACCCGGAACAAAAAGTCCCATGGAAAGGCAAAACCACCAGTGGCTTCCACTTTCATTTCAGTTTTGATGCACATAAAGTCACCTGACAGTACGTGGTACTCCCTTCCCACCCAAAAGACCAAAGCAGTTCTGACACCCTTCTGGGAAATATTCCAAGCTCCTCAAAATTGCAAGTGTCAGTTTTAATCAGTTGCCTCCTTTTTACATATCTGAAACACTCTGTGATTTTAAAGGTGTTTTTAAGTCTACGGAACGAAGTAGGCAACAAATTCTGCATTTGGCCCATACTTAGGCCCGGGCTAACTTGGCCGTTTCTAGGCCTTTTCCAAAGTATTCTCCATAAGCTTTCCATAGTTCAAGAGATGAAAACACAGTGAAACTTAGCATTGACCATCTTAGCCACCTTGTTCTGTGTCCTTTGTGGCTGTTTTTCAGGACCTGGGAATATGCTTGGCTCTAAGATGCTAGTTAACAAATCCCTGAATTATTTTCCCCTGAGCTATCTACATAATCGTCCAGAATTACGTTCTCAGATTTCTTGTATTCTGTGACTGATAAAGTCTCTAAAATTTCATGTAAAAATGAAAAAAATCATGTTAGCATTGTATAGTGTGGAACTTGAACTTACAAATTTTAGTCACTGGCAGAAGATCTATGCTCTGTTCCTTGATCTCCTTCGGTGTCTGGACACAGGGCAGAAGCTCCTGAGCAGAGTGAAGAGCACTGTTAGTCAGGGCTTCCCTGGCTCACACAGGAGCTTGAAGCATGGGCAAGCCTGGACTACCCTAGCAAATCCAACAAAAACAAGACACAAACCAACCACCAGAGAAAAGACTATCGAAGTTTTTGAAGAAAAATCTTCCTGGGGTATACCTGACAGCACAGGCCACATCTGTTGTTTGTCTTTTCATTTTGAGAAAGAGTCATAATGTATACAGTTCAGGACAGCCTCAGACTCGTGGTCCTCCTGCCTGGGCTTCCTGAGTGATGAGATTATAGACACATGACATCACATCCAGGCCACATCTTTTAATAATTATTTTATTCACGTATTATATTTTTATAATACTTTGATGAATTCTCACCCACCATTTCAACCTTACCAGAAGAATTATAGCATTTGGAAACTGACAGTGATGTTCGTGACCATACAGTCAACTCTCATTTTACAGAACAGCTGAAGAGTGCCTTGCTCGGTCACCTGACTACAGCTTCTAGTTTGTTAGCAGAAGTGACAGTGTGAGAGGCTTCATCCCCGGTCCACTCTACCATGTGCCACCACCATCACTGTTAGCACAGCCAGCATTTGCGTGACCACTACAGGGATAAAGCCTTTAGTGAAAGTGTCCGAAAGGGAGTTTTA